TTATAAAGTAATTGCTTTTAGTAGCGAACGTCGTGATCTCTAACGATAATTTATTATTTTTTTTCTCGCTCGGCCTCCAGATTTGTCGAATATCGGTTTAAATTTTCTGCACCGCGTAAACAAGGCCGCACGTGTCGCAACTTTTCCAATTACGTTCAAATGTTTGCACAATTGTGTCTCTTTAATGCTTTGTACGCGACGCTTGCACGTGGTGAACGATGATAAATATAACCTGGCCATATTAGCTAAAATTAAATATTGTACAACCAGCCGTACGGTAGTCGCCGCGTTTTGCGTACGCTCGCGAATTGTAGCATTTACGTTCCATTAATCAAAACGCGAGCCTGTGGCGAACGCGAGCCCGCATTTTCTTTCGCTGTTCGTTTGACGGAACGACTTTCTCAAACCAGACGATACCGAAATAAGATTCATCTTTCGAACCGGTGACCCGTACGTCCAAACACTCGTTACGTAAATTTAGTAGACGGCAACTGTGTTTTCCAAATAGTAAACTTAACCAAAGCTCGTCGTTAGAATCAGTAATTCAAGTACGATTCTTGTAATGTTAGTAATTTTTTACGTTCTTCTTCTCGAAAATTTTAGTAATTATTTGTGCTTTCGTAAATTGCAAACCGTATACTGTATACAGAATATGTTTAATGTTGCAAATGTACTGGGAAACAAAGAATAAAAGTAGCGGGGATGCGTAAATGGTTTCAAACGTTCCGCGCCAATCTATCGTCCTTCCCACAGAGGTCGACACTGTACAACTTCTGTAGGAAGTTACAGGATTCGGATATATTTCGCCATTGCGATCCGTACACGCAACAAGTGATTTTTCGGTAAATAGTAATCTTAGCCACTGAATGGCATCGATTTTGTAAGAATAATAAACACAGATAATAACTTTTGATCATTTTTTTAACTACGCCTCTGTAATAAATAGTACGTTGAGGACCCCAATTTTTATTCATAAATTGTTTGATAATTATATATAAAACTATATTTTATGTACAATCGTTCTCCGCTTCTTTGAAATCATTGAGGTGTCCTTGGGAGGAAAGCTCGTTTTTTAGGTGTCAGAATAACTAAACGCGATAACGTTTTAAATCGAAGTAACCATGAGACCGCATTAAACAACTAAATAGATAAAAGAAACGCAGCCGTTATTTCGGAAGGTAACGTCGGCTCTGCCAAAAGCAATACGATACCGGGGGACTCTGATCGAGCAAACAATGATTCGACTATTCTGAACGGCGAGTATACATATTTCAGTATTCAGTATTCGGCGGCCTTCGCCGGAGCTACCAGGCCTCGACAAAGAGAAAGGGAGAAGTGGAGGGGAAAAAAGGGGAACAAGGATTTGTTTTCATTGACATACCAGAGCGGGAGCTCGGCTCGTTTCGCAAAAATCTATTTTCGCGCGCTAATTACGTACCGCGGCAACATCACGCGTCACACACGAGCCTTCTTCTCTCGCGCCTCCCCGCCATGTATTTCGCCCTCCTCGCCCGCCTCATGCTCGGCGACGGATGATTGTTTACACTGCGACGAGGCACTGGAGCAAACGATCGCGATAATAACGCTCCAAGTTCGATGACTGCATGACATATTCAGTGGAAACCTCCCGTCGGGGATAAAAGGTTTTTTTTAGGTCGTTCCTCGAGACTCGCGCGAGTGCAAGCGGCGCGGCGATCGCCACGCTTTCCGTTCCTCGGCTACTCTCTTGTTTACCGCCTCCACCCCTCGTCCTCGATCGTTACGCTCTTCCGTATCGACCGATCGATGGAATCTTTTTTCGCGGCCGCGCAACGTTTCGACGAATGTCCCTGGCGATTATCGTTTCGCGTGTCCGCGAACAGGAACGTACGCGCGACTTCGTGACTCGAGATAATCGAGACGCGATTCCGTAAAAATATTCAAGATGGCCACGAGTGACCGGGCGGCAAGGGAGGCAATTGACCAGAGGGTTCGCTCGTTTGGATAATTATAATTCAAGCCGCGGACGGCGAGAGAGACCCTAGCTGGTACGGCACGCATAACGACCGGGCAATTATTCATTTAAAGAAACGATAATGCCACCGATTCGCGGAAGGAGTCAACAACTGCGAGAAACAGTTCTCTCCGCTGGCTGGACTTTGTCGTTCCGTGTGTAAGACCGTTACGGACGGGACGTGTAAACAAGATATCAACGGTTGGACGTCGGACAACAATATTATTAAATGGACCAGTCGCGGATATTAATCGACGGCAGACCGAGCGAGGCTGTCGTCGAACGACGGTCGACCACGCATTTGCGTACTGCGACGACGGATCCGTAGTTTCGACGCGCGGACAAATGGCGCTAGATTTGTAAAACGGATGACCGTCTCGTCAGCGGTACTCGCGACCATTCGTCACGGGATCGGTGGCTGAAACTCCGGGTCCAAAGAAACTCGGGAATTTTTAACCAGATATCGAACTACTACTCCCCAAACAATATTTCTGTTACGTTTATTTTGATCGATTCGCGACCAAGGATATTCTATTAACACCTCATTGCATTCGATGCAGCGCACAAATAACATATATTTAATAGGTCAGCCGAATATTATACTACGCTCGAGTCGACAGTTTCTATCTCAGTTTCATCTGACACGAAAATTGGCGCGTCATAAATGTATGACACGTGGTAGCCAACGTCTTAATTTAATTTTCTGGCTATATATCTTTAAATTAAAACCGAAGAGTGGAGTACATTCGAAACGATAATAGATAAATATACTCTTGCATGGCATATAGAAAGAAACACTCGAAGTTTTCTACACATTTTCTTTCGCGCCTCCCTCGGATCGTAAACCGCCATAGGGGTCGCGCCCTCTTTAGGAAAGATTGCACCAGGGGTATGTTTCGCTTTATCATCGTGTGTATCGATATTTATACGCGAAACATGGTCTACGAAAACGTAAAATTCATTCGACCGATTGTAAATAATTAAATTATACGATGCAGTCAGCTATACACTGTTATCCAAATATGCTCGTTGGGAAAGCTCGAGTGAAATTATATTCTCTGGATGCCAATAACGATGTCATCGGTGGCGTTCTTATTCCGCGCGGAACAGAGCATTGTCAATTTGTTATTTATTTTTATCGCGCGACGCGTCTCGATTTCCCGTCGCGCGGCGCCGCGCAGCACCGTTACACAATTCCATTGTACAATATTTGTTGTGCGATTTATAGATACGCGCAGCCGAGGAATACCGTGGCTGATGTGCTGCATTCTTGAGATTACGCGTGAACTACTTTTCGAGAGAACGCGATAAAAGTCTTTTATCGGACCATTGCGTGCCCGATGGTATCGCGCGTACCACGATTGATATCGTCGGATGTTTTCAAAATCGGTAACCCGGCGATAGTCCGAACGCGTAAAGGAAATCAGCTGAAAAGTGCAGCAGCTACACCGTGACGCGAAGCCACCGATCGATGAAAGAAAACCGTGGCGGGGAAACCGGGAGCGTTCGCATGGTAAAAGGGACGCAGGGAAGAGTCAACTATTTGCTCGAAATTGGCGCTCGACGAGCACTGAACGCTACAGAAACGTCAAGTACGACCCGTGGCAGCGACAAACATGTAAAGTCAATCGTTTCAGGTTCAGAACGGGATGAATAAACGTAAAGGAGGCTTTAAAAGGGCGCGCGTGTAAGTGGACAGAGAAGAGGGAATGCTAAGTAGCAGGGCAAAGAAGAAGACTAAGGAAGGCGTTCCTCGTGATACTCGCGACGACCCGACCGGATGCAACGCCAGAATGGGAATGCAAGCCTCCGCGCGCGCAAGAGTCCGTTACTCGCGTCGGGTATTTCCCAGAACGCGACTATAAACAAACAACACACCAAGAGAGAGACGGGGCACTGTGCGCGTGTGAGCCATGCCCTCCCTTCCAAGGCAACAACAACGACGAGCCAGCAATTCCACGCAGGCGGGGAGGGGGTAGAGAATACTGGCGCCGTCGGTTGGTAACCCCACCAGGAGCATCGCGCATGCGCAGACCGCGGGATTCCCCAGGCCTCCCCCACTAACGCCCGTACGACCGTCGCCCCACTCCGGCCGCTCTTTCTCTCTCCTCAAACGACGGTCAAATTCGCACGTAAAGTCGTTCCGAACGTTTGTCGATGCTGATAAAGTATCCGCAATGTTTACCGTCGATGTAGTACGCTAATTTTAACGAGAAGGATCGAAATCAATGGCTATACGTTGGCTCGTCTGCCGTTGGCTCGACGATTTCGACACGTTTTCGATTCGAAAGGAAATAGACGTTCTCCTGCCCAATCATGCCGCAAGAATGCGTAACGCTCTCTTTCGAACCGTTCCTCGATGCGCGCCGTTTATTGCTTCGTGCCGTCGAATGCCTCGCATTCTAGTCTCCGGAAGCGAGTCGATTCGTTCGAGGGTACGCGTGCCGACGAAATCGAAAAGTTTCTTCGACATTTTGCTTCTCGATGCAGTACAATCTCGACGTAGAATCGTTCGTTGTTACTATTTTCTTTGAATTCGCCAAGATGCAAAGAACGTTTTTCCGAAGGGACTCGACGGAACCGCGGCCGTTGAAAATAATATTATTTACGCGGTCGTTGTTTTCTGTTTTTCGATCCGCAGTTTCGGCGAAAAAAAGGAAAATCGGTCGTGCCGGCGGGGACAAGAAGAGAAGAGAAAGACTCGAAGGTGGTGTCTCGATGCTTTCATTGCAATTTTCGCACTTGACCGCAGGGGTAAGCGTGCTTTACGATCCGCGGTAAGATTACCATCGACGCTGGAGATGGAGAGGGATTGCTACCCCCTCGATCGCCCCAGCACCACTCCCGGATGCGGGTCTCGCCGCTGCTGGTGGTGGTGGAACGACGCGTAGTGGGGGTAGACGCGGGAGTGGGGAGGCTTGCCGCCAACGAGTGGCAGATGGTGGGGGGAAAGCGCGGGTTAGCAGCCGGGACACGCCAGGCGTAGAATTCAGTAAGCGAACGGCTCTCAACGGCCACGAACGTGTTTTTCGTTCTTCGGTTCCCGCGCATGCATATATATATATATATTATATACACACGTACCCGAGACTGATCCGAATGAAACATAATCGAGACGCTGTCAGAAATTCGTAGTATAAACCGTAATAACAAACAGACGCCGCGACACATACTCGGTTGTTTCTCGAGAGTTTACTAGAAAAAAAAAAGCAACAGAAAAAAAAACAAAAAAGTTCTTTGGTTTTTCGATTCTTTGGTTCTTCATTTTCGTTTCCGCAACTGTGGCTTTAATCAATCAAACTGGATTCCAACAAGCAGTACATGTCGCGATTACATCGCGGCTACCGGAGGCTTAAGAAATTATTCAAGGTAAGAGGAGACGAAAAAAAAAAACAAAAATATGTAATTATCGGTTCGACGTTACGGTGAAGACCCTCGCTCGCGCGTTTTTTACGACACGGGAGAAAATAACGAATCAGTTCGCGGAAGTTGTGCCTCGAGTGTGACGCCAAGCAGCTTTAGCCGTGTACCCAAGTGCCTCGTTCCCGCGGAAACGGACGGAAATTTCTGAAGCGTCGTTTCTGTTTACGGTACGATTCGGCGGGATACGCTGGGCGACGCTCAGGGGATCCATCGCCCTGTCAACGGGGCAATGTTTGCTCGCCAATCGCGCGCGAAATCAGTTGTTGTTCTTTGAAGAAAATTCGCCAAACGCCCCGGGACAAAGTAATTCTCGGTCCGAGGAATATCTTGAGAATCTTCCGAGACAACGTTCCCACGGATCGCGAAGCTCCCGACGAAGGAGCGTGTGGTATATAACATTGTACTGAAAAGGCGCGTCTTCCACAGAATCGGCAATTGTTTTGATGCTGCGGTATTCCTCTTCCATTCGCGTTTCTCTTTTCGTGCGTGTTTACGATTCGATCTTTATTTTTTTTTCCCATTTTGGCGGGGAAATTTGTAAAATCGATTTCGCGCCGGAACGTCGTGCAAACGTATGTGCATAATTTTCGCGCGATTAAGTCGCCGAGCAAAGGACGCCTCGAGTTTCGAAAATTTCTTGGGACGAGAATTTTTGGACCCCGCCTTGGCTACGAAAACGGACAGTACATTCGGTATGCCGAAAAAGAGGTGAAAGAAAGAGGAGGTTAACACACCGTTTCGAAGCATGAATAATTTACACTCGGTCGAATTTAAATAAATTCGCCCGAAGCTGTCTGTTCCAAAACGGGCAAGGCGTAATCTCGACGCCGTTCGAAAGTTGTTTACGTTGACCGTCGAAGGCAACTTTAAACGAATTCTCGCAGAAATAGCGAATATATCCCCTTTGGACAGATCCGAATTTTCGATACTAGCCCCGCGGTCGATCGGAAGAAATTTAGCGAACCTTGCGTTCACGATCGAAGAAATATGTTATTCTATTCGTGACAGACGCGTAGACGGGAACGGTTACTTCCGCTACTAGGAACGCTACTAGTAACGCTACTAGTAACGCTACTAGTCAAGCGAGCGTTTGTTATGAATATTCGTTTCGACGGCGGAAACGTCTCGCGTACTTGAGCAAAAAACTATTTAAAATTTCAAATGTTATTATTTCTGAGCAAACGACTGTATTTACGAACAGTGCTGAAATGTTTTTGAAGTTTCCAGAACGACGATAAATAACTATGATTTTATCGTTACATTATTTTCCAAGCTTCGTTCTTTAAACATTACCAAAACAGTTAATTGCTATCGCGCATTTTTTTTTCTTATCTATACGAAAGGTGTGTAACCATTCATTATAACAAATGAATAAATTTTCTAACGAATTTAGAAAAATCGAGAATAAATCGAATGACGTTTCCGTTCCTTATCTCGCGCATCGAAAGGTGACTTATCGATTAAACAGCGTTGCGACACGATAATAATGCGTGTTTGTCGAGCTCCCTCGTTTCGGCAATACGAGCAAATTGACTAGAATGTTGGAAAGGGACGGTGGAAGCGAATCTGTCGTGAGGTCGAGCCACTCGCGCGCGATACACGTGAACCTCGAATGATCGCAGAATTTTGTTACACTCGAGACCACCGACAGAGACGCGTGGAGGGACGGAGAGCATCGTTATAACGGCCATCGACGTCGCGACCGAAAAAAACATGTTTGGATCGACCGCTTGTTTATACGATACGGATGTGAAAGCAAACAGTTTTGTGGCCGTGTTGGTCGCGATACGTGGCCCGATCTTTGTCTCAGGATACGTTTTATCTCCGCGACAGTGCGAAAGGAAAAAAAACATTTGGCCATCGGTCGCGAAATTCGACCGATTGTTCAATGACTCGGGACGCTTCCGAAATGCACCGTAATTCAAACTCCCGCGTTGCAATAGCAGCGCCCGTATTTATCGATGGGCGGCTATATCTGTTCCTCGAGATTGTTCTCCGACGATAAGAACGCGTCATAATTTCTGTCGGCTATATAGAGTGCAACGCGAGCGTTGAAACGACGGTGTTGACAGTTGGCGTTAATTTTTTTTTTTTTCGTAACTTTACGTAATAAGTAGCAACGCCGTTCTTTCGCGGCGATTTGTAAACAGCCTTGACGCGGTGTCCCGTGGAACTAGTTTTTACATCGATCGTTAGATTTTCATACCCCTCCCTAACCGAAACCTTTTGTATAAAAAAAACAATCCCAAACATGCCTCTGCACATAGTCTTTCTTTGCACGCAAATTGCACAACGAATGCCGCTTTGTTTTTTTACACGGCGAGGTCGACGATGACAGTAACGGTAATATACAAATATTAGAAACGTTATTGTCAGGTACTGCCAATTTTGAGTTTTAGTAGCCCTCACTAGACCGCAGGCAACATAGTCGGAATATAATATTCGAGAACGACTGTTGCATCCTTTCGATTGTACCCCCCCCCCTGCTTTTTCCAAACACGTGTCATTAGATATCCAGCTTGAGCTAACTATTTTCCAAGTATCTTTTAAAAGTTGTACATACTTGTAAAGGAGAAAAAAAACAACACCCAATAACCAATAAACATTCGTGTTTCTCGTTGAGGATTCCTTAGATATCCGGTCCCGATTACCTTTAATTGTCGGACAGAAGCTTTGCGATTAACTACATTCTTGCTTTGAGACTCCCATCGGCTAAATACACAGTGGCGCACGAGTTCCACAAAAAGAAGTTCATTCGCCCGAGACGCGCATCGACCCTCGACGAAAATCAACGCAGTTCGCGCGGGCCCTTTTATTAGTCTCTGCCCCGAGTGCGGCGTGTTCCAATTTAGTCGCTCGGCGAGCGCGCGCGACATGTTTCTCAGCGTCTGCGAATGCAAAACATCTCATTCACGGGCAAAAGTGCTGGCCGCCTGCGCCAATAGGCGTAGTCCCTTCTGGTAGCCGGCGAAAAGCCCCCGATGCGTTCGGGGTTGTGGGCACAAGGGCGGCGGCGAGCGGGAGGGGCGGGAGGGGGGAGGGGAGATCTTGGAGGGAGACATATATCTACGATCATTGCTCTCCGTCTCTTTCGCGTTCTCGTTCTCGTCGTCTTCTTCCTGGGTTCGCGTTGCCCGCGAAGGGAAAGGAGGAAAGAGAGGAAATTGTCGCGTACCATCGGCAGAGGGCAGCACTCGCCAGGCTGCACGAAAAACACAACTCCGCGAGTCGGGAGTGAGTGAGACGGGGATAGTGGTAGAGAGAGAGAAAGAAAGATATGATAGTGGATAGAACGGAGCGCGTTACGGAGGCGCGCGTCCACGAGAGAAGGAGACGAGACGAGCAAGGCTAAAATTAGAATGTCCGTTGGAATGCTGCTGGGTTGTGTGTACGTGTTACAGGGTGATTCAACGATCGCGGGAGTAGGAAAGAAACGCATTTAGCGTCGCGGGTGGGAGCAAGATAGAGACACGAGAGTTTAACGGACGCCCCCCCCACCCTTCCGGAGAATTCGTTGTCGTTTCTTTTTTTTTTTCGTTTTTTTTTAACAGATCAAGAGACCCGTTGTCGCGAGCCTCGAATTGGCTTCCGGGAAATTTCCACGCGTTGCCGCGCCGGGGCGTTGCTCGCGTCGCGTTTCGAACGACGGGACGCGCTTCCGTTCCCTCGCGCGAACGAAAACGGTTTCGCCGCGTCCTCGAGACTTAATCGAGAGAGCGCGAAAGTGTCGCAGGGTCATCGGCGGGTCCGAATGTGTCGCGACGAGAAGGTTGCCCCTTCGCGAATTGTCTCTCCGGCCTCTGTGCCGTCGTCGGGACCGGCAGACGGTTTATTTTAAACATGCGCGCGCTCTCTGACACTCGGATCGGCGAGGCGTTTCAGATCGCCGCCGTGGTTTGGTTATTTCTAGAGATTATTATTCCTGGTCGAAAGGGTCCGAATACGGGTTCGATCGCGGCTCGAGAGAATCCGTTTCCCGCCATTTTGTATAAACGTCGCCCGGCAGCGAATACTCTAGGATTCCTTTGTTCCTAACCCCGTGCGTTTTATAAGCAAGTCCAGGTCAGAAACCCTTCGTCCCGGTGGCAGGCTCCCCCTTGTCGGTCTTTCCATTTAAAGAAGCCCGGGCACCCTCGCATCTCCGAAACACCTCTACCCAGATAGCTTTTCCCGTTCGACCGTTTCGCATGACCCATTTTGCTTCGGAAACAATGCCGCCAGCGATTCGAATCGTAGTGGTAATTTCGAGTCGTCTCGCCCCGTATGTATCTAGGATCTAAGCAAATTGTGCGAGGTCGTCTGGCGGGACGTTAGTCGGTATATCGATTATCCGTGTTCCCTCTGGCCGACCGAGAGACTTCTCCGTTGGATATCTAGCGATCGCCCGGTGTGGGCTCTGTCCTGCGGTATTCGTCGGTGGTTATCCCTTGACGACGAGGGGGAGAGATAGTGCCACGGAGGCGGGAGTCAGGGGACCAAGGAATAGATAAGCAAATAAATAAACTAGCGGGGCAAAGCGAAAGCCAGCGAACCAAGAGGGAGTAGGGCCGCTGCTGGGTGGCTCTCGAGCAAATGCTCGACGAGGTCGACGGCCTGACACGGATGGTTGATACCGTGGGGCCCGTCTCGTAACCGGCCTGGGAAGAAGAACGAGGAAAGGTGGACGAAGAACACGAAAGAAAGGGACTCGCCAACTTGCGTTTTCATCGTTCCAAATACACCCGACTCCCTTCTTCGTCCTCTTTCTCCGGTGTCTGGTGGATCTCTCCATCCAGCCGCCCCCGATTTCCTTGATCAATTCGTCGAACCCTTTCACGGACGGGTTAGCAAGGTTACGATCCAACGGAGTACCCGCTCACTGGTCATCGCGACGTTCGATGGTTCGTCAAACCTCTTCAACCCCTGTTTTTTCTCTCATTCGTTTTCGTTAAATATTGCATACTAAGGATGCAAGGTGTTCGCAGTCGTTGTTTTCGATATTCGGAGACCAGCGCCCCTCAAATAAATTAGGCGCCTCCTTGGTATTCGGCCAATTCTTCCCCGAGATTTACGGGAACGCCTTTAAGCTTACGAACTATATAATCTTTTTCAAGAATTCCGGTCGGTCTATCGTGGTCTACCTGGCCTTGTTTGTTTTCGAGACACTCCCGTCTTTGGTAGATTTCGAGAATGTTCGATCACTTTCTGGTTTGCGCAAGAAGTAAGCGTAATGGGGCGGTAAAAGAGGACGTTGACGTTTGGGGAAATGGCCCTGACCAGCCACAGTTCTTAAAAAGGGTCGTAGGTCAGGTCGTTTGGCGTCTGGGAATTTGTATTGGGATCCGGCAACCCGAAAGTTTCTTGGCGGTTTAAGGTTGCTCAGGTGCACCGGGTGCAGCCCCGATAATTACGAGGGTTGGACGGCGGCGGTGGGTACCGAGCGTCGTAGTCCCCCCTAAGACTCTCCTTCCGCAGTCTGCGCCGTCGTTTCCCCTCCGTTCGCGGAAAGTGATCGATGATCTACGCCGCGGAACGTCCGTGCGGCACGAAATTGGGCCGAGTTGCGTATTTATTGCCGCGGCGGCGACGTTATTCACCGTACTTGCGGCTCTTTGTCGTCGTCGGTCCGCTTTACGCCACCCCCTACTCTTTCCGTTTTCGGGAATGGTATCTCTTTAAGATGTCGTCGGTATTTACGTCCCGTTAACAGGAAATTCCCGCGACGCGCGTCTCGTCCTTGACGAAGTGCCTCGCCGTCAAAGGCGTCGTCGTTTCGAGACGTTCAAAAGACCGTTCTCTCTCTCGACGCGAGAGCCGCATTTCGAGGATCATCCCCGGATTCGATGGACGAGAGAGCTCGGTTCCTTTCTTCTGCGTGGGCCGTCACCGCCGGTGTACAACCCGGGAGATCCGTCTTTCGACGGAAGCGCACAATGGCGGCGGGAGGAAGGAAGCGGCAGGCTTTTTAAAGGGTCGCGATCGTCTTTCGGGGCCGGAAACGAAGCGATCGTCGTTTAATACTCGAACCCCTTTTTTCGCTCGCACCCTTTGGGCTTCATTGAATTTCACCGGGTGTCTGGATTCGTTGACCCCGTGATGCAAGTCGAGAGACGCGTCACGGGGGTTGCTTCGACGCATAAATATGCAAGACCGATCCAACGACGAGTGGATGTAATTTTCGATCAAAAAGCGACCTTCCAATGTCTAGGTCAGTTCCACGGTTACCGGTGTCGCTGGCAAATATTTGTCCGGGGGGCCCGAATTTAGAAGCCGTTTCCTCTGTGTCTCCCGATCTTTGTCCATTTCGCAGGGCACGGTCGGTTTTGAACGTGTTCTTCGGCCGCTGATGGGCGAAAGTTCGGTTATGGTTGGCGCCCCGGAACCGGTGAATTTTTCTTGGAAACGGCAAAGAATCCGTTTGACCCCATTGTGTGTACCACAGCGGCGAGCGTAATTTCTCGACCAGTCCGTAACGTCGATTGCTTCATCCCGGGGTTCGAGGTTGCCTTATTTATTGCGCCGACCGTCGTCGCCGGGCACTTTTATATCCGTCCCGTTGCTCCCGTCCATTCTCTGCTTCCATTCGTGGCAAAACGATTCCTTCGATCCCAGACGGTCGTTCTATCGCAATACACCGTGGTGGGTCCGCGCGCAGCCTTGAGATCTTCCGACGCGCGTGGGATACGAAACGACCGACGCTTTCGTTTCGCACGGAATCGGTCTCTCGTCGTACCCAGGCGACTTCGTCATCCTGACCTGCGCGACGAACCGGCCACGTGTAGGCCCCCGTGACGTCACTTCCGGCGCTTGATTTCCGGACCGATCGTCGGCGGATGAGAGGAGTTAAGCGCCCGGACGCGCGAGTTCGTGCCTCCGCGCGTTGTCCCACGAGAGATCGACTCCGGTTTTGCCCGAGGAACTGTTTCGAACGCCCGGATCTGTCGAGGATCGTGTTTCTTGGAAATTAACCCCCCCCCGGACGACCGAGACCGCGAAAAGTTCCCGACCGATAACTTATCGCGGAAACTGAGGCGGCGGATCTCAATGGCTACGAAACGATTAAACAACAATTCTTCCGTTAAATTAGCCCTTTGTCCCGTCTGAAGAGACATCCAGCACAAGGGAACGCAACGATATTACAGTTTTAAAAAAATGTAGTAGATCGAAGAAAAGTCTCCCAGTGCAGGGGGTTAATGTTAAATAAAATACCGTATCAATCTATATTACGATATCGTTGTTCGCGAGAGCGCGAGAAACGCTGACAAACGGTGGTCGTTAAAGGATTAACCGCGTGTAATCGTTTCGTAACGTTCCCCTCGCAGAAATTCGAAAATGATTATTCCCCCACTCTGCCATGCGTCTTGCCAAGATCGAATCGGATCTCGGGACGCGGAAACGGCGTCTTTCCGCGGGGAAAGACTTATCGTCTTCCCCTTTGAATCCTCGCGCAGTATCCATTTCTCATCTCCAGCGACGATGCGGTTTAGAAATGGTCGATTAATTTGTCGTTCGATGCGGCATAAATGTTCCCCGTTCGCCATCGACGATCCGCTCGGGCTCGTTCACCGCGTTTGGACATCTTCCCAATGTCTCGTTTGGCGACCGGGACGATCCCCAATGGTTCCGCCATTTCTTTTACTACCTGTCCAAAGTTCAAATCGAATCCGACTCTCCCGTTGTCTTGGATATTACGTACGATAACGCGTCCTGTGCGCGAGGTGAATATAAACGGTAGTAAAGGGAGAATTGGGGGTGTTCCCGGGCGTCTTATTAAACAGGATCGACACGTAGAACCGTTTAGTAATGAAGTCGTGGACGTTTTTGTTGCAGTGTGTGGCGAACCAGGCGCTTACCGTTTCGCCACAGCCGGCAGTAACGGTGGAGGGGCCGGTGTCCAAAATGTCTCCACCAACGAACGACGTGACCAATGGTGTGGTTGCGCCAGCCAACACCTTGGCGCCCCGGGTTTCGCCTACAACGAACCCGGCCCTTACCACCATCAACCCGCCAACGCACAAACGGACTCCCAAGGACTTCATCTTTGGCAAGGTGATCGGCGAGGGAAGCTTCTCCACCGTACGTGTATCATCCCATTAACTCGATTAAATCGTTAAGATACCCCTAATTAACACGGGGGCGAAGAAGGTCGAAAGAGTTTCTTCCCTCTAATTCTCCAGTGATTCTTAAACTTTTTTCCCCCCCAGCCTCTCGTTACGAAACTTTTCTACCTTTTTCCTACCCCTGATTCGACGGGGTATCGATCTAACCAGTTTCGTTGCGTTGATAATTGCGAGCGACCGTCCTTTTGAATCTTCAATTCGAAAAGGAAACAGTTAAAGAAATATAGCTTGAAATCTTGAAACCTTAGAAAGAAAAAAGACCCGCCTAGACCTAACCAGGTTTTCGATGGTCTAGGTTTACCTCGCGAAGGATATCCACACCAGCAAGGAGTACGCGATCAAGGTGTGTGACAAACGTCACATCATCAAGGAGAAGAAGACCGAGTACGTGAAGCGAGAGAAGGAGGTGCTGAACATGCTCGCGGGCGCGAAACACTCGTTCGTGCGCCTGTTCTGCACGTTCCAGGACGTGGAAAGACTCTATTTCGTTCTATCCTACGCGAAGAACGGTGAGCTCCTGCCCTACATCAACAAGGTGGGCTCGTTCGACATCGAGTGCACCAAATTCTACTCGGCGGAGATCCTGCGCGGTCTCGAGTACCTCCACGGCCTCGGGATCATCCATCGGGATCTCAAGCCGGAGAACATACTGCTGGACGAGAAAATGCACGTGCTCATCACCGACTTCGGCAGCGTGAAGATCCTCAAGGACCCGGAGACGGTGTTGACGCACACGACCACCGACGATCCCCAGCAGCAGCAACAACAACAGCAACAGTATCGAAGGGAGCGCAGGGGATCGTTCGTTGGTACCGCCCAATACGTGTCGCCGGAACTCTTGACCGACAAGACAGCGAGCAGAGCCTCCGATCTCTGGGCCCTTGGCTGCATAGTCTACCAGATGGTCGCCGGTCTGCCCCCGTTCCGTTCCAGGAGCGAGTACATCATTTTCCAAAAGATCCTGAAACTCGAGTACGCGATACCCGACGGTTTCTGCGAGCTGGCGAGATCCCTGGTCAGCCAGCTGCTGGTGCTCGAGCCGTCGGAGAGGTTGGGCGCCCAGGACGAGCACGGCGCCGGATACCCCAGCATCAGGGCGCATCCATTCTTCGAGGGCGTCGACTTCGAGACGCTGCACGAGCAGACACCGCCGCCGATCTACCCCTACCTGCCCGGCACGTCGGAGCACGAGGAGCTCAGGTCTCAGTACAGGGTTCCCGATCATCTCGAACCCGGCCTCGACGACAAACAGCTCACCAGGCTTCTGGGATTGGGACTCGGCAAGGACGACGACGACGACGACGACGACGACGACCAGCACACGATTACCGAGTGTGAGAAACCAGCGCCGACCAGCACGCCGGTCGAGAAACTGTCGAGGAGGTCCGCGGACCCCGACGGTAACATCGCCGACCTGACGCCCGAGGAGATCAGGAATCGGTTGGAGAAGCAACGCGGCTCCAACCAGTGGCACGTCTTCGTCGAAGGCAACCTGATAGTCAAACAGGGTTTCGTCAACAAGAGGAAAGGACTCTTTGCCAGACGAAGGATGCTCCTCCTCACCACCGGACCGCATCTCTACTACGTCGATCCTGTCAACATGGTGCTCAAGGGCGAGATCCCCTGGAGCCCGGAACTCAGGGTCGAGCCGAAGAGCTTCAAGATCTTCTTCGTCCACACGGTGAGCATCTCCACTTTTTAACTAGATAAATCACGAGCGTTTTAACGACCGAATAATTCCGCGAGTAAGCCACCGCGCTTAGAATATTTTCGAACAATGCGGTTTCGAAAGAGCCGAGAGAAACCGGGGCGAAGCGATGTTTACTCGTCGAACGATTAAAAATAAAGTTACACACGCGGATAGTGGCGCGCGAGCCTTGGCCCAGTTCGATTGTGTTCCTGTTTACGTTGACAATATTCCAGCAATAATATTTACGAGAACTTCGTTGTTTGGTTACAGCCGACCAGAACCTACTATCTCGAAGATCCCGAGGGATTCGCATTAGAGTGGTGCAGAGCGATCGAGAACATGCGAGTCCACTATTACGGCCTGCAGGAGTCCACCGCTTAAACAAAAGACTGAAAAACACACACACGCAATGATCGTTTAGTGAAAACGGGAGCAGGACGAAAAGGAAAGGTTCTCAATCCATAGACTGTATAACGTTGTCCGCGAGGCGCGATAAAATCACACATACACACACACACACACACACACACCGCGAATCTATGCGCTCGTTGGTGGCCAGAGGAGGCGATTCTATAAGATCGTTCGTTAGGGTGTATTAGGACTCGTCATTAGGAATGATACGTTCTAGGATAAGTTCAGCGTTCGTTCTATAGCGCGTTATATGTACAACTTAGGACAAATTTTCTAGGTAAAGAAATTTTTAAGCGCGCCTCTCCGAGGTACTGCGGGTACGGGGGTTAAAAAAAAGAAGTTTTTCACCGGTTACGTTCAGCTTTGTGTATTTATTATCGACCACGGGGGAACCTCGAGGAGAGGCTGCGCGTCGTTACTGATACGCGAACACGCGAGAAACAGCGAAAACTTTTTAGCCAAGGTTTTCAGCCGTGTATCCGCGTGGTAGCGCGCGCGCGCTGACTGACGTAACGATCGTGTGATCGAGGTCGCTTGGCCTAACTATTATCGCAACAATGTCTCGTCGACTTGGTGGACGAGGGCAGAGGAGTTTGTTTGTCCGCGAATATTCTTTTGTGCACGACTCGTTGGGGGGCGTAATCAAAATTCAAAGATTGATCGTTGATTCGAAATTGAAACTTGGGTAAGGGGTTGAACGCGTGTATTTTCGGGGGTTGTACAGCGATCGACGAGTATCTCGACGCGAGCCTAACCAAGCGCCCGTCGATCATTCGCATTTACAGCAGCGCGCATCGAGAGTTCGTTCGAAATGTAGCCAAAATTAAAACATACTAGCGAATTTGCAGACGGAACCCTTTTTAGATAGACGCGGGGCGTCGACGGCGGCCGTTCGCGATACGATATTTATATTTGCCGTCGGTCCCGCGATAATATCTAGACGCGAATTTGTATAGTCGAAGTCAACCAAAAACAAAAAAAATCAAGAAAAATGAAAAAAAATGCAGTGGAGGACAACGTGTCGCTTTGCAGCTTTAAAACCGTTTAACGTTGCCTGTGAAAAGGGGTCCCCGGAACCGTAGCGCGTGTTGTTCCGTTCGGGATCCCTTGCTCTCTTCACGTTCTTACAGTATTCTTCTCTCGTTGTTCGTTGCCCATTTCCTCGGTACTTTTGTAAATATTAGCGCGATTTTTCACGAAGAGCCAGGCTTCGTAAAGCGTCTACGAATTGTATAAATAGTGTTCTATAGATAGATAAATAGTTAGATAGGTAATTAGTTAGATAGATATAGAGAATAGATCTTCGTAAGTACAAAAATCGTTGTCCGGCCACGGCGTTTTTTCCGCGTTCGTTTTCCTTCTTAGTTCGAATTTTTCCTCCTTATCGCCCTCTACCCTGTTCTGGCCCTCGCGGACTCGAATCGAACGCATAAACCGCGTATAGCCGGGAATTTGTGTGACGCTAAGCTTAGATCTTAATTCGAAAGGAGAGTTTAAACAACAAAAAAATGTTTTACGCCCCTTTCGTAGAGAAAGTAAGAGTAAACGTTCGTTGTACAAAAAAAAAAGAAGCGGTGGAGTAACGGGAGGTGAAAGAAACGTTCTCCTCCCGGCGGAAAGACTTGACACACTTGAACGTGACCCTATGAATTATAAGTAGGTAGTTGATAGAGAATCGTTTAAAATGATTGCTTTAAGGTGAAGTAGTATCCCGCTTAGATGCAAAACTACACACAGGACACGCATACACACATCTATATGTACACGAACGACACATGGCACAGTGGTCATCGCGTTCAAACTATTATCGTTATCATTCTTACTATTAATCTTAATTTTCCTAGTATTTAGTAACGCCGCTATAGTTAATATCGTTCACGTTATAATTGTTATCGACTAATTCGCCGTATTACCGACCTAAGTATTTTTCGCCCCCCCCCTCGTAAACTTCTCAAAGCGTTGTTTAAGCGATTTCCGGTTTCGTTCTTTTGTTATTTACTTTCTCTCTTTCTCTCTCTCTCTCTCTCTCTCTCTCTCTCTTTTTTTTCGAACTTTTTTTTTTTTAATTTATTACGTATCGTGTTCTCGTCCCGCAATTATTTATTTTTTACCGGTTTACGTAGCATCGATTTACGGATCTACGGCACGCGTTCACGTAGTCGTTTATAAACATACACAGACTTATTAGTACCACTACCGCTACCACCACTGCGATTATTATTTACTAGTACTACTACTATCATCGCTATTACTATAAAATTACTATATTACTACCGTAGCGCGGATTACACGCGTTTCAGCAAAAAACTATATTTACTATTATTGTCCATAGACGTAATGCTCTAGGCACTTTGTAAATAATACTGCCGCGTTCTTCGTCCGACACGCACCGAGGCGTTATCCGGCGTTTGGACGGGGGGCGGGCGCGATCCAGTCGTGGCCGTAAACTGTACGATAATACTTGTATATTTCCTATACATAAATATTATTCTATATATATAGATATATATATATTATGTAAAAAGTATATATATACTCATATATGCATATACAGATATACAAAGTATTTATGAATTGTGTATAGTAGTTAGGGAAAAATCGTGTATAAAGGTGAACGGAAAGTTCGTAGGTTTAGGTCGAGACGCGCGCGTAGGTTTAAATATTTCGTTGACGTTACCCACCGGCACACGACTAGATCGCGCACGCTGCTCACCGTGAACGCCACTGTACCATATATACAGATATATTTATATATATATATATATGTATGATAAGATATCCAAACCACCATCCTCCTCCTCGCGACGCTTAGGAGAATTAAAACAGGGTATTCGGAGGTGGAATCCGTTGGAGGGCAGACCGTATGGATCGTCGTGACCGCGATGGCCGCGCCAGTATGCTCGAAATAATGGTGGTCCGTTCGCGGGCCGGCATTGTCCTTGCGCCCAGTGGCTTCCCAAAATGACCGCTTCTTGGCGTGCTGCGTACGGTGCTTGCGGGCGAAACCGGGGCTCGCGGCCACGACGAGACGCCATCCGTCCTGTACCTCCGCGTCTCCTTCCTCCAGCAAACTATAGTGAGAAATCGATCGCGAGGAGGCATTCCGGACAGTTGTTGCCCACCCCTTGACCTCCCGCGACCTCTCCCGCCCCGCGCTTCACGTTTCTTTCCACGGTCGGGCGGGATAACGTCTCGGTGGCGTGCGTGTTTTTAGGTAAAAAGAGAGAAAAAAAAAAAGAAATACGGAAACAAGCGACGCGATCTTTCCGACGAGACACGAGGCCCCCCCACACTCGCGCGTCGACGGCGTTTGTTACATTTCCCGAGGCGTCGGTCGGTTTTTGTTTGTCAGAGGACGCGACGCCTCGATCCGTTCACGGCGACGCCCGATTAAAAAGTTCCTCGTTCCCGTCGACGCGCGACACCCCGCGTTGGCACGCGTCGTTTCACCGCGAAAAGATCGCGTCACCGACGACGCCGTTTCATCGATCCCTCGAGAGACGCGTTCGATCGACGCGCGCGTCGTTTTCCACCGTTGGTAAACTTTGCAGGTTCTACGTTTTATGCAGGCGTTGTAAACTTTCAGGTCGAAAACGCGCGCGTTTTTCCTTTTCACCCCCTCTATCCCCCCTCCGAGCGCCGACTTACTCTTCCGACCAGGGGAAAGGTGTAGTCGCTTTTATTATATTTAAAATAGTTTTTTTCCCCCCTCGTTATTTGGAGACTGGTCTACCCCGAGATTCCTGACCCCCCGACCAAGAGAGGGTCGGCGCTCCCGTCTTCTTTTGTATCATAGTTCAAAACTTAACTCTAGCCGAGGAAACTTAAAAATCTCTAGCCCGTATCTGTTGAGAGAGACGATACACGGTCAACGCGAATAGCTAAATGTAATTTATATCGCTCGCGAGAGAGTAGAACGAATACTTAAAACAAGCGGGATACGTATTGTATAACACGAAATGATATGAAAAAAAAAAAAATTGTTCGAACGCATACGCGACTACGTAAGCAATAACCAGCCATGGCTTTTGCGATCATTCGAATGGCTACCGTTTTTGGCGTGAGAAGGACGGTTCAACTATTAATTGCAGTATTACTAAATGTATACAGACTAAAAGTACACTTAACACCGACACCACCAACACAACGGGTCACTTGTACACACTAAATACTTCACATCGGATAAGAAGACTCTGTAAATAGTTAGCATGTAATTGATATTATATAGGCGACAAGACCTATTAACATCAAATTTATTTATAGTAAATTTTTCGAAATACCGTATGCCTCGGTCTCGTTCATTTACGCGATATCCTTCCTACTTCCCTACGGATAACGTGGATTATAAAATCGAATATCATTATGTTCATTAGTCTTTTCTAAAATTCATTTTCGTTTGTTCACGGAAAGAATCTTAAGTATCATAAACTATTAAACAAATTCTTATACAATACTCTTACTAACGGACGGGTATAAGTAATAACGTTGAAACTAGTCTGAATTTGTAGTTTTTATTAACGTAAATATACATGTCACAGATGTTAATGATAAACATTTAATACAAATATTCGTATCTACAATATAAAAATAATACAGTAGCGCAGGAAGAATTGTTTTTAAAGTGCAAATTATATTCATGCATTGGACTAGCCACTATTAAAATTGTTGAGATTCGCAATAATGAAACTATATTGAAGTTTCAAATTCAAAATTATTTAATATGTATTGTTAACTATGTCATTGGGTCGATGCTTTAAAAGACTACTTGACACCGAATATATTCTCGAAGATAAGACATATATGCGTACTAGTGTTAGAAGCTCATCTAATAACTTGCGAGCGAAGGTATCCACTCGTCACCCTTCTACTTTAACGCGCTTTTACATGACAGGACTCTATCGTAATGTGTAAAACATTATTTGATGATTGCAAAGATAGAAATAATTACTAACTCACGCTGCATACTGGTAAATACGGATTTTAACGAAATAGCAGTGGCGCGATGATTGTACTTTTTGCAACTAGAGAAACGTCCATGTCTATAGCTGTCACGATCGAATAATTACTGGATTTTATACAACCTAAGATACGTATCTAACTTTAACGAATTATATCTTTAAAATTATTTAATGTTCTATACAATTTGACGTATCGATTTGCAGAAGTGCGTTAAACCCGGAAAGAGGGCAAGTTGAATCCCTCCCTTATCGAGGGAACCATAAAATGCAGAAACACATTTAATTATTTAAACAAACAATTCATTATTTCGTTAAAATTTTCCCCATACACGCCGATCGTTTACCATTGTTGCATTAATCGGCGCCACTGGTGCTTCTTCGTTGCGCCAAATGCGTTAACAAGTGTTTTTTTAAATCGGGCATATTTTTCGGGGTGGCGGGACATTTGTGGCATTTCAGCGGAGTATTTAAATACACGGCGCTGTCCTCGGACTTCAACTTCTTCAGCTCGCCGTTCACGTGCAATTGGTTACAGATATCTGCAAACGGTAAAAGGTAAAGCGCTTCTCATGGGAAACGTGTTTTTTTTACCGCGAAGAATTCGACTTGGGGTTAGTTTTTAGATAGTAACAATGATAGTGTTCCATTTAACGATTAAATTAACAGTTAGCCTTTAATATATTTAATTAAAAATGTAGTTACCGTTCCCTGCTAAATGGCGCGAAAATAACCTATAACTTTATTACGTGTTCCGATATTCGAGATAAAGTTTTAGGAATATAATTCTCAACATTTACATTTCCTATACACATCAACCATTTCAACTAAAACGTTAGACGAATTCAAATGGATACTACGATAACGTTCAATTTAAACCGCGAGTGATTTACGATTCAATAATCGATTAGTGTAAGTCGCAACGCGCAATCGATTAACTAGTTGAATTTATCCCATCAACCCCTCGCGGCAGTATATTTCGTGGCTGTGTTGAGCGTTTTAAGAGTGAAATTTGTGCTGTTTAATATGACTATAGAAGATCTTACCTATAGAGTGTAAGAAGAAGGGAGTCGTGAACGAATTCCAATGATACTTCGTTTTCAAACAGGGGCTGTTGAAGTCTGTACTGATCACATGTAAGTGTAACCGTTGCATGCTCGGCACAGCGTGATATCCAATACTAGAAAAAAGTTAAACATGTCGATTTATTTAGATTTTGTGTTATAACAATCAGTATTTCAATACAGAATTATATATGTACATACTAAAATTCTGACTCTTTATGTTCCTTGGTTAGATCATCTGCTACTTTTGCCATGTGTAGCAACAAATCCTCATTCTCCCTTTTAACATGCCACAGCGAAGGTATATTTACTTTTGGTAGGACTAGGAAATGGAATTGGGCTTTCGGGTATTTATCTTTGATGACAACCACTTTGTCATCCTCTTTCACTTTTAGATCAGGATCTTCCATAGAAACGAGCAACCCTGTTGCCCAGTGATGTTTCTTTGGAGTAGTTGCATCGGTTGATGTTAACTTTGGTTTACGTTTCATAGTTACCAGTAACTCTTTTAGTTTGTTATCAAGCAAGATGCAATGTTTGCTGTAGTATCAGTATCTCATTTATTAACAGAATGCAAATAATAGAGATATCACTACCTGTGCAAAGGACTTACTCGACACTCTAACAACCTTGTGCTGGTCAAAGTTATAGTATAAACATTTTTGAGGTTATGTTAGCTATATGGATTTTATTGCTGAACAAGAAACGTAAATAAGTTTAGGAAGACTGCTTAATTTATACTCGTTCTATGTATGGATTAGATTACTATCGCACATTTTCGCCTCCATTGCGTTTACACTTGTTCAATTCTGTTTAATTTCGAAATGGTGGACCGTGAAATTTACTCGGATTGACGTTTACGTATGGATCAGCTGTTTTTTGAGTCGCACAGTACGCGTGCGCGCGTATCAAGCGTAAATATAAATTTCCAAAGGAATTTTCGCATACAGTACATTTAAATGCAAGCATTACACAGCGTACCGAGGCAAATTAGTCGTAGAACCGCCGGGAAAATAAACTAACACCTTAGCGAATAACTTTAGATTTATTTATTTACTCAAATGGAAGGCAATCGATAAATTTGCAACAAATAAAAATAAATAACACTCTCTCTAGCAATAATTACGTGATCGTTACTTAAACGTACATATCATTACAATAAATTCATAGATACTTAACAAAACTTATACCATTTCTTTCTTCGCATGCTCATACAAAATATGTTCGTGTGATTGTATGTGTGTGTTCGCGGACGCGCGAGCGCGCGTTCTTTCGCGATCTTTCTCATCTTTTTTTTTCATTTTTTTTTTATCCTTTTTAAACTTTCAACCGTTATCGGCGCAACCGCACGCTGAACGTTTATACACGGTACATCTCGCAAAAACTCTATACACGGACGACAAACTCCCACGTCCCGATGCAAAAATTTTACCTAATCGCTCTGCTCTCGCTTACCGGTTCGTTTCCATCTTTATCTTTCTCGCTTTTACCACGTTCTTTACACTTAAATCGCGCGCAACCCTCCGACACGCTCTCACACACGCTCGGATTATACAAACAAAAAGATACTCTTACGCGTCTCAAGACACAGACTACCAGATTCGCACAGCCTGACAAAATCGATCAATCGATCATCGACAGATTTCATGATTCGAAGAAAGTGAAATTAATCGCGGGATCGCAATGACAAGCAACGACATTCGCTGCGACGCGTTCAAAGAGAAACGAAAAGAAAATTGAGGAGATCGTGCGTTCGATGGCCGACGATTCGCAGCGAAATTAATCGTACGTTCAAGGCCACGTTCCCCACCACATGCTTCCGTTGGATCGCTCCACCTATCGTTTTTTTTTAGACGCCATCTGTCTCTCGAACAGAGTGGCAAGCCGGCATAGCGTAAAAACAGGGGTGGGTGTAGCGACCTTGAACGGCCAATTAAGTTCGCCACGACCAAAGTCGGTGCTATCCCTCTCTACACGGCGTATTCGCCTCGATCGAACGTTCGTGTATATAATAAAGGGTGCGGATAAATCTAACGCAAAGCTTCGCGGGACAGCACCGCTTTGGGGCAGTTTCCTAAATAATTTCCTAAGTAAGGAAATCGGCCGCACTTCTCCTCTCGACTCTAGCTCACGTATGATACAATTATTACTTTACAACACGCTAGAAAACTCTTATTGTCATGGCAACGGGTGGTACGTTTCGTATGACGAAGCGATACGCGGTGGCAAGGGTATTTTTTGGCACGATTCTCAACCCCGATCACGCACCATGTTCCATCCCTTCTCTCTCAATCTCTCTCTTTCTCTCTTCCTTTACCTATCGCGCGATTAGAGGATTTAAATGCAGAGTTAGTAGCGTGGTTACGAAGCGACTTGTATAATCGGATCGAACGAATCGAAGGGAACCGGTTTCGATCTAAATGCACGGGTTTCGAATGGACCTCGACCAACGGGTGCGAGAGGGTGAATTTCGAATACACTAGTCCTACTCAGACCTCCTCGAAAGCGATACGCAGCGTCCAGTAATGCTCGAAACAATCCACGAAGGTCCAAAACCTTCACCTTTTCGATTTGTTCTCGATTATTCCGTTTACTGGATATCCCGCGTACCGCCCAATTGTACGTGAAGTTTGCAGAGAGAAAAAGTTAAAGGACAGAGTTTAAGCAAGCGCGTTAACCGAGGGTTCCATCGTGGTTAGCGTTTAGAGGGATGATAATCGAAAATGGAGGACACGTCGCGTTTGGTTCCCCGACTGTTTCTAGCTCCGGAACATGGTGTCTCGAGGTCCACGGGGATGTTTCTCTGTTTGCGCGTGAACGTTTGGAATGTTGCATTCTTTTGCTGCTTCTGCATTTGTGCGATATGGGGTGAACGATGATGGTACGACTTCGCTTGCCACAGTGCCACTTACGATCGCGAAAACAAAGGGATCACGCCTAATCTACACGAATCGACGAACCAACCCCCTGCACAGTCGATCGAGGAGAACGATATGTAGGGTGCAAGGGGATGCTTACGCGATTCAACCGCGGCGTCTCGAGGACAATCGATAGCTCTAATTAGGGTTTCGTTTAGCACCATCGCTGATCACGTACGCTGATACCGTTTCCACGCACTCGCATACATTTTCACGCACTATCCACGCACGGAAACGCTTCTCGCATTCACGACTTTCTCTCCTTATTACCGACTTAGGCAGTGCGATCCTTTATCGTAACGTCGACGTACGAAGCCACTTGGTTCTGCGAAGGACGTCTCAGAAATCTCTAACATCTCTGGCCTCTTCTACGAGGATTCGGTAATGTTCGATCTATGCAGCTACAGCGATTTATTCGCGGTATCAGAGGGTCTTAGCACTTGCCAGGCACAATAAAAATGAAATTCGACATTAAATAACAAAAATACGGAAATACCTTTTTTGTCACCGAATAATGCATAAAAGGTGAAAATAAATTATAAAAATTGCCTAGGACGCATAATACTTGTCAGAATAAATTTTACGATCCTCGAACGTGCGTTTAGAAGCGGGGTGAGAGGGTCTGTCGGAATTCTGAGACAAATCCTTCAACTTTTGCTCGAACGGATGTAAAAAATCCGCGGCCCGCTGTACGCGTAGCTTGGATCTCTTGCTCGTGCGAGTTTGGAAACATGGAATGTCACAAAAAAACAACAAAAAAGATTCGTTAGAGGGGAATAAAAAGAAATGGGAGAACCGCACGTTAGCCTGACATCGGTACACCATAGTCCGCACCCATTCCGAAAAATTTCTATGCGATTACTGGTGATTAAAGTAATGTAGTGTGTAACCTCTAACATCACATGCTCTTGCTTAGAAAATTATATAGCTGTGCGGGAAAGCCGTCGGCATTGCTCCACGTTTGTTCTTCCATCCTGTTCTTCGCATATATATTTTCTCTCATATTTTTATTTCTCTCCATCATTTTCTCGCCTTTTACAGACCGCACCTTGGCTTTCGAACGCAGCGTGTATTACTGTATTTTACATATATGCATATGTATATGTACGTATACATATATACATACATACGTAACCTTTACGATCGTTACATTTATATTAGATTCCCGTAAATGTAATAATTATCCGATTATATTATTACGATTGAATATGGTTGATTTATTTTTTTTTTTTATTTACTTGGAGGGAGCAGGAGGGAGGGGTGGCTGGGTGGGTGTAGGGGGGAAGCATACGAGAAAAACATATACGCAGCTTTCCCGGTTACTTCCTGTTTAACACACACGCTATTCGCAGTTATTAAAACTCAAGCAACACACGACTGTAGACTGGATAGTAAAAACTAGCTAAAAACGCTCGCAAGGAGATTTCTTTGGAGAATTTTGAAGACATCGTCGTTGTCGTCTTGTTTTCCGGGTTGCGGGACGACCGCGCCGGTCTCGGCGACTCGTCCTCGCGATCGATCCTCGCGAACCGGAAGCGTGATCCTTCCGTTGCGTGTATTGGTTCCGTCTATCGATCGTGTCGGACCGAAGACAATTTTTATGCTCTATAAAAACCCCTTAGAAACGTTTGCTACGCGGTCTCGCGATTCGTTCTCTCGTCCTTGCCGATCCGTTCGCGATCTTTTGCATCGCCCTCGGACGCGGTTATCGAATTACTCACCCATAAATTTTCGCCCGTGAAAATTGTACAGCTATTTTTAACTCCTAATTCGCACGATAGTCCTCCGGTTCCGTTCGTCCAAGCGGCGCGAAAGCTTTTTTTCCGCGCTTAAGTACGTTCGGCGTCCACGCGAGGCACCGTTGGAATCCGCCACCGCGAAACGTATCCGCGGCCCAAGTGCGTCGTGCCGCGAAACGATTCGCTAAAATGCACCAAACAGTCACAGACTAATTCACACAACACGCGTAGCACTTCAGTGGCTCAGCCGTGGTCGGGTCGTTGGTCTCTGTGTATCGAAAGCTCCCTCGTTCCCCGTTGGACAGTTAAGTACACAAGGCCGAGCTCCAGGGATAGATCTCGGGCTAGGTCGCGAAGTCGACCTTGTCCCAGGTCAGCGAGAGATCGGAGGACATCTTGAAGTCGGAGTCCTCCATGTTGAAGAGATCGAACGGGTCTGGGCTGCTGGCCAGAAGAGGATCGTAAATGTCCGTTCCCGATGTCAAACTCATGGACGGTGTCGGCTGGTGATTCGACATCGTCGTGGAAGCGGTTGGCGGCGACTGCGGCATCAGAGAGTCCAACCAGTCCGAGTCGTCCATGTCCATGGGCATGTCTCCTATGTCCATCAGCTCCTGAGGGGCTTCCATCTTCACGCCCAGATCGCAATCCAGTTGCCCGAAGTCCATGGTGTCCAGGGTCTCCAGATCCAAGCCCAGTTCCTGGAGAGAAACAAAACAATCTATACTATTCTGTACCCTCGCCATTTTTGTATTCTTCAAACCTTCGATCTCCTGGTTTATTCTCGCGGCTCGAACTACGCCCGATATCCTGCATCCACTTGCACGCCCACGTACGCACAAATTAAATTTAGTTCCGATCGGAACCCGACTCACCTTGAGGTCCAAGTTGGCGTTGTCCGACGAGGTGACTTCTTGCGGCGGCTGAGGATCGGGCGAGGATTGCTGGCCCGACTGCGGACTGAGGAGCATCGCCGTGTCCAGCTCTGCCTCCGAGGTCAGCAAGTCCGTGCCAAACGACGACATCTCCTCTTGCTGCTGCAACTGTTGCAACGCGGAGGGTAACTGAATGGAGAACGTCGCCAAAGGCAATGGAGGCGGCGGCGGCGGCGGTGCCGGTGCCGGTGAACTCACGCAATCGCTTTGTGAAACTTCCATCGCTATCGGACTGATCGGACTGATCGGACTAGCCGCGGTGAACACCAACGAGTGAGTCTGGCTGTCCGCCGGCGCGGTGAACACCAGGTTCTGCTGGAGCTGTCTGTTAGGGGTCGTGGGGGTGGCTGGATCCTGTGCGGCGCTCGGAGGTAGCTCGCCATTCTTTATCAGGATCTCCAACACGTCGTCCACGACTTGACTCTTGATGTGGTTCTTCTGAACCGGCTCCATTTTCACCTGGACGTACAGAAACGGTTCGATAATGTACCAAACGCATATTAGTGTATATGTCTTAACCGGGGAATCTTTGGTGTCGATGATGGAATATTTAGACCCTCTTAGAGAAGAACTTTGGTCGAGAGAAGTCGCTTATGTCTTTTATGTACTTTGTGTCAAATAGTTTATCGTAATATTAAATAATATAATTTATCTTGCAACGTACGCTTCCAATTAAAGATATACTCACTTTGAGGAGTTTTGCAGCTTCGTCGTACTGAGGGGGCGGTGGCTTGCCCTCCTCGGACGCGGCCGTCTGCTGCTGATGGTGCTGTTGGTGTTGGTGTTGCTGCTGCTGGGCCTGCGCCTGCGCCACCAGAGCGCCGAGCAACGAACCGTTCAGCTTCGCGGGCTTGGCCAGGTTCAGAACGATCGCCGTGGGTATCTGAACGGTGGCGCTGTTCTTGGCCTGATTCTTCTTGTTGTTGATCGCCGTCAGAGTCGAGGAATCGAGAATGGCGGTGGCGTTGTTCGGCTGCGCCTGCAGGAACGCGGCGAGGCTGGCCTTTGCGTTCAGCTGCTGGAACGCGGCGTGTTGTTGCTGCGTCTGCTGCTGGGACTGTTGTTGGCTCTGCTGCTGCTGCTGCTGCTGGTGCTGCTGCTGTTGCTGTTGCAAGTGTTGCAGCTGTTGCAGGTGCAGCGCCAGCTGCTGTTGTTGCATCTTGTTCTGTATGTGTTGCTGGAGCACCAGTTTCTCGGCGTGAACGGTGGTCGGCTGAGTCTGGCGGATCTGCTGCAGCTGTTGCTGGGACTTGTACAGTTCACGCTGCAGCTCCTCTATCCGTTTTCTTTGCTCTTTGATGATGTCGTCCCCTGAAACGCAGAGTTTAATACAGGTACTGATATAGATATTTCATTGCAGGACGAAACATTGGGAGTTGTTCTCGACTGAGACGAAGGATACCTGGCGGGCTCGATGGATCGTCGTGTTCGCTGCCATGAGGTGAATCCATTCGAGGACTGTTGGGTTCGTCCTTAATGGCGGATCCCGGGCTTTTGGCATGCGAGCTCGACTCGTCGGATGTCACCGGACCCGGTGTGTCCATCAATATGTGGCCCATGTGTGTCACGTGAGGTCCATTCGAGCTAGACATCGAGTTCCCGCTAGACAATTCCGTGAACGGCTTTAATCTCTCGATCAGCTGTGGCTTGGAGCCAGACACCGGTAAGTTTCGACGTTTCAGTTCCACTTTGAGATCGCTTACTGAAATGGCAAAGTTTATCCACGGTCAATCGCTGACATTGTTAAAGCGTTTTCGTTCCTATCCTGTCGTGGATCTTTGCTTGGTAATTAACCACCCTTGCATTGTAAAATCGTGTCGCAAACTCGATAGAAATAGGTGGTACTCGTAATAAAACAAATTACATTTTGACTTTTGGACGACGAAGACAGGAATTTGTTTCGCGATAGAGAAATTTAGCGCCTGACTATGGCATACGCTCACGGTTGTTTAAACTGCAAGACAAAGGGTTAATTTCTGTCGACGAGCAGTTCGAAACTGTACTTTGGAAGTGTACCTTTCATCTCCTCCAGCTTGCCCAAAGGCCTCAACGGAGGTTGCTCCGAGGGGTTGTTCGAGGAATTCGATGGTGCAGGGCTCGGCGCGTTCGCGCTGCTTCCGCTGATACTTCCGGCGTCGCTGGCGGCACTGCTGGTAAGCGACAATGGCTTCTGTGCCGCTGGGAGAATGATCTGAGGATACTGTTCAAATTACGAACGCGTTAATTCCGCGTAACAGACCTCGTAGCTCGACTTTGAACTTGGACGATTAATTCTAAAGATAGTTTGTTAGAAATAAGAGTTCATAAATGACAGCAAGCAGTGGTCTTTCAAAACAAAAGAAAAAATTTAGGTAGATCTAGGTTCTTTCTTTCTTTCATTACGTTTTAGTCTTTTTAAAATAAGTTTTACTGAAATATTTCTCCGGCAAGGCCTCTTATTACCAACTGCTAATGTTAATAATCGACATTAAATTCGCAAGAGCAAAACAATCGCTGTTTTTGACATTTAGACGTAACACCGTAATCGTTATGCAAATTGTCGGGAGAAAGTAACTCGTTAACGAGACACGTCCGGCTAGAGATTCGCTCGGTTCGGTCGAGTGTTGCTAACGACCGCGGAAAGTGGAGTCGATATTGATATTTCTATTTGCCTAACGGTTACTTTCCTCGACTCGGATCGAAGGTATGTCGTACCTTGTGCTGCCATTCGAGCTGCCACTGAAGGAAGAGCTGCTGCTGTTGGAGGAGCAGCTCGTAGCTGGTCTCGCCGGGCGGTGCCGAGCCGAGGCCGGAAGTCGTCGACGACACCGACGTCTTCTGCGCGTTTGGCGGGCCCTGGCGACAGACATTGTCCGGTATTAATCATTGTTGGCGGCCACAGAGGGGCTTGGCGTTCCTTGATCCTGGCGGTGACCAATACTAATCGGTACCCGGGGATTTACAGTTCCAGGCGCGATTCTGTGCGTAGATATTTCGCGGATCGGTAGGGAAATTTTGCGTCGCGTTAGTTCTAAAGAACCTAGGAAGATTTCTTCCAACGTAAACTGGAGTAAGCGTAAGAGTGTTAGGATATATTAGGTGCGAAGAAATAAAAGTTCCCTAAGTTTCGATGGTTCCACGGAGGTGAAAAGTTCAGTCCGGAGGCAAAAACTAAGGCAGAAATCGAGTTAGCGGGTAGAGAACGGTGGACGTAGGAGAGGCAGCGGCGCGAGTGATAAATGATACATCAAGATGTTTTCTGCGCCCTCATTTGCACGCCCATTCCCGGCTCGCTTTCACGCCGGCCACGCCATATCCCGAATGTTTCGGGAGCGTGGCCTGGGCCCTGGCACCTATCCCGGGCTTTGCCTCCCCCTGGACCCCCGTTCGATCCGCTCCGCCGTCGCTCCCTGACTTCCACGCTCTTAGGTGCAATTAGCGCTCGAATTACTCAGAGCTAACGAGGTGGGCCCCGGGCCCTTCGAGAGATCGCGAGAGTTAATCACCCGATACGATCTCCTTCCGAGGCTTCTCTCTCCCTTCGACGAGGATCGTGGCCGAGCGAGAGACCGCTTCTTCGCGGGCTACCGGGGCCAGAGATTTACCGACCGTCCGTGCCCGTTTTTACTTTGCTTTTACTTCTTCTGCGATTCCTCTTTCTCCGCCACGGCCTTATTCTCTCCCCCCATCTCCCCCCTTTCAGCCCTTCTCGTGCGCTTTCTTTTCGCCGCTTTGTCTTTTTTACCGTCGAGGCGAGCTCCACTTGCCTCTTCGTCCACCCTCGTTCACGCCTAAACCTTATTTTTTCTCGAAGAAATTTCGCTGGATATCGAACGATTTCCGGAAATTCGTCACGTGGGAGGACGACTGGGTGAGTCCATCGTTAAAACGGGACGCGTAGCTTACCTTGTACTCGTGAAACTTGATGGTGCGCGTTTTGGGTTGGCTCTTGGTCTTGGACTTCTTCCTGTTCTTATCCTTGCCCGGCGCGTCGCTTCTCTGACACGTGGACGCGGCTATCGGGCTGGGTTGCGGTCTCGGGGTGATGGCGGCCGGCGGTGGTGCCGGGGGCGACGCTATCGAGATATTGGAAAGGGGACTCAGGCTGGACGTCGTCGAACCCAAGGACATCGGACTCGGCGCCGGCGCCAGTGGAAGGAGGGTCGTCGATGGACCGTTCGTCTGACTCGCCTGTTAACAGAGATCGTTGCTTTTTTCACCACGGAATCCTCGATTAATCGGCCCACATCGCCGGTCACCAATTTATGACCGGCACTTAACGTCCAACGTAAATCTATTTTTGCGGTCAGTTCGGTAGTTTCTTTCGCGTCCGACAGCTTACAAACTTACCGTCGGCGTTTCTCCGTTATTATCATCGAACATCCTACGACTTTTGCATAATGCGCCCGATCGACGAACTATTCGCTCCACAGATTCAGTAACTTTCGTTACCGATCGTACAAACGGAGGAATAGTTGATAGATCAAAGAAGGCTGTTAATTGTAACTTCGAGTATAGAATCCAGGACTTAGAAAATGTTGGCAAGGTACTCAAAGAGACCGTATAAATCTAGATACCTGCGTGGAGGCATGTTGCTGACTGTGTTGAACCTGCTGCTGGGACTGCTGCTGGTGATGCTGCTGTTGCTGCTGCGAGCCGACGACGGTGTTGCAGAGCTCCGCGAACGTTTGTATCGTCGGTTCGTTCGCGGCTTGCTGGAAGACCGGCGACGTGGACGAGACGACCACGGCGCCGCCGGTCGTCGGAATACTAAGGGACACGGTAACGATTCCCGCTGAGGCAGCCGCTGTCTCCAGAACGTCCGATCGGGACTCCAGCTGCGGCGAGGGCGCACCTTCGGAACTCTGGGAGTCATCCTCGAAGGTGATGTAGTGGTCGGGGTGCTGGGGTTTCGTTACTTGGCCCTCGCAGGTGGCCTTGAAGGGAATGTGGCCCTCTGAAACGAACGATTAGGAAACATTCGAACCAAAAAACCATCCAGCATTGCGCGTCTTCTACATTATTTTATTACTGTGTTTAACCCTTTGCACTCTGAGACTTTTCTTCGATCCACTACTAACTCAAGCACACTTTCTTACGAAATAGATTGTCCTATATAATCACTTTAAAACAATAATATCGTTCTGTTCCCTTAGAGGGAGAATTCTTTGATGGATGTCTATTTAGTGGGACAGCCGAGTGCAAAGGGTTAAATTGTGGTTTCAATTTTATTTTTTATTGTGTTTGCAGAGGCCTGGGTCAGGCATAGATGCACCAATGCTTACCTTTGACCGCCCTTTCGATGGGCTCCTCCGTGTGGAGAATATTCTTCTGGATGAGCTCGAGAGGCCCAGGTCGATGACTGAGCTGATCGTTGAGCTGGTCGGCTAGCCTGGCCTTCTTCAGCATGCGCTGCCTCTCGGCCAGGCTCGGGTCCACGTGACCCACATCCTCGAGGATATGCTGCCTGACCAGCTCCTCCCGGCCCGGTCTCTGCTGGATCTTCGCCTTCAACAGATCGCCGGTTTTCGCCCGTTCCAGCTGCTTCCGTTGCTCGTGGAACGCTGGCGGCGTCTTCAACGCTGAAACGGTGAGAATTCTTTTACTTCTCGATCCACGAAACTCGTTTACAATTCAACCCACTGCTCCGTCTTACGAGATATTCCATAAAATGCAAATTTCTACTATTTTAAACCTGAAACGTATGGTTTTGATTGTATCTCGATCCGCCATAAAAGCTCGGAACACCGTCTTTCGCGGACTACATTATTTAAACGACGTTGAACGGAACGTACTTTCATCAGAAGTCGGCAAAGGGCCGGATCTAATAAAAGAACGCCCGAATGAAAAAGCACTTCTGAAGCTTTTAGGGTGTCCTCCGACGCATACTGCACGCATCAATTTCAGGGATGATGGCCCTCAAAGGTCTCCCACCCCGGCGCGTGGCGCCATTTTGGTGTCAACGTCAAACGGCTCCTGTTCTCTCTCTGTCTATCTCCGCCGTGCATTCCACAACACCATTAAGACCCCGAATAAATGATCCCCGAATCGTTTTCTCTACGCCGCGCCACTATTTCCGGACAGAGGCGGCCGCTTCGTTCCACGGAATAAAAGGTTCGAACCACCTACGGTGCACCAGACGCGGCAACGGAAACGTGGAAACCGTCGCCTCTCACGCGCCTAATAAATTCCGGGTTACTTTAATTTCGACCGAGACCACGTATGTAACTCTCGTTTTCCACCGTCCATGTACGGTTGCCGTACATAAATGTATTTTAATTTTGCAACGCACGGCACGAACAGTTCGTTAAGGAAAGTTTCGATCGCGAGCGTGCGGATTTTGAAATTCTTTGTTAATATTTCGTTCGACGAGCTTCGTCTCGGAAGAAATTTTCCCGCGGCGAGCGGCGCGCGCGATTCTAAAATTAAACGAGCGACTCGATTCAATTAGGCTTCCTTTCCAACGTCCCTTCGGCGATTTCGCTTTTGTCTCACCCACGCGCGTCTGGTTGGGCGAAACGCGTATCCGTCATTGTATCGACTGCATCGGTGAGCGCGTGTGTTTCGCGCTAGCCAGCTGTGACCCAATTGTCTAGTTTCTATCGAAACTCGCATAAATCACTGGCTCGCGATGGACGCGCGTCCACCGGTCCCCGGTTGTTCCAACGTCGAACGATCATAAAAATAAATGATGCCTATATCCAGCTTGGAAAACCGCGGATTTCGTACGACGTATTCATCGACGAGGCGTTCCGACGCTTCTCGATATTCGAGTTTCTCGAATTCGGTGGCAATTACGGGGGCCTCGAAAGTGTTTCGTGTTTCATGCAAACCGGGAATACTTCGATCCGTTTCGGTGAAAGCGAGCCGCGCACACCGTTACGCATCGTTTTTCCATTTTCCATACACGGGAATTTCCAACGTTACCTCCGCTTTCGTACGAACTCGCCCGGAACCGTTGCAAAACCGCTATATTACCGTGGGATATTCCGTTCTTCGAGCGTTTAAAATTCGCCGGTGGATAAATTTCTTTTGGGGTTACGCCTTATCCGTCGTAACTCGTCCTTTCACCCTGCTTAGTATGGTTCTTTCAGCGTAAACTCGTTTCTTTTTGTCCGTCGAGGCGAAGTCGTTAGGTAAATACCCGAGTAAATTGTTCCGATTTATTTTACGATTCTGCTCGCGCATAATGGGAAGTTTCGTTGACTAGAAAAATATGGACTCGTCGAGGATATTTTCTTGGAGTGTAGCAGGCACGAGGAAAGGATTTCAAGGTGGTCCATCGAACTTCGTTATTTCCAACATAAACAGCCCCCGTCGAAACGAATTGCCCAATCAGAGGGAAACTGGTTAATCTTCCAATCGCAACGACAGCGGCCCAACGATAAAAACAATCGTATTTCATGGCGAGTCGTTGCGTTCCGATTGTCCGTCTCGAAGAAGACGGGGGCCCCGATGGCGGCGCGGAGGACCCACGGTCAGCCGCAAAAGACCCTCGCGACTCCCCTAAATCATTCGCAATCGGAGAGACTGCGGCGAGTCGTAACCGTGGAATCGCAATTTTCGATTTACGATCCATCGAATCGCGATGGTCGCGGGCTCGAAACCAAAGCGGCGCGCGCCATCGGACTCGTTAGTTCGCGGCGATAAACGTCGCGGTTCGTTGGAACAGGATCAAGTTTTCGCGAATAAAACGGTCGGGTCCGGCGGTTTACAAGCGGCGACTGATAGGAGAGCGAAAATATGTTTCGACTATTTATACGGGCGACCGAAGACCAAAGGCTTCGTTGCACGCGGTGGAAATATTTTATTTTTTAAATCACGATCGGTTGTCGAGCCCACGGGGAACAGCTACGCGTCTCTGTTTTTCTCGGTCCACCAGTGTCTTGTTAAGCGGCGGATTTAGCTCCTCTTTATGCTCCCAGCGTCTCTTTGTGTCCGCGCGTTAGCTTCTTTGCGATATTCATTCGGGAACCGCGTGGGCGAATCGCATTGTATAATAAGGCGGCGCACAGTCCGGGAAATCTCGACGCTTATGCAACCGTTTCCGCGCGAACCAGCCCCGCGAGCTCGAGGAGGACGAGCGGGCACAACGAGGCAGCTGTCGGCCGTTCAATTTGCGCATTGTTCGGGTTTCGGGGCCTTCGCGCGGAAACGATACACTTTGTGCACCAGCGTCCGTGTAAATTTATTTCTCGGATCGTTTACCACGATCGAATCGGTCGTAAATAGCCCACGGTAACCGGGGAGTAAATTAATCTGTGGCGTTGCTTTCCATGCTCGCCACCAGAGGCGTCGCGCTCTCACAAGCGCTCGATCGACTTCCCAATATCCCAGTCGTCCAAGGCAGGGCCTGCTAGAAAGCCTTACTCCTTTTCTTTTCTGTCCTCCTACGAATTTCTTGAGTTCCCAACCCTCAGCCAGCCACAAATTGTTAACCTCGGAAGACGTCGCGTCCTTTTATCTCGATTTATTTCCTTTAATCGCGCGAACAACACTTTTCGAGGATCGAGATCCAGTTCAAATAGCTTCAAACGCGATTGGACGCTTCTACCAGCGGCTACCTGGAGAAATAACCCGCTAAAAAGAAAGTCTAGCTTGGAAAATCTTGGTCCACCGTTTGTTAAAATTCGCAACCCGGGGGGAGACGAAATTAATCGCTCGCTGTAAACAGATTTACAACGTCATCGCGAGCCGTTTCGGCGAAAAAACCATTACCACCGGCTCCGTGCGCGATATCTTCGGGGTCCAGGAAGCCGTAAATGAATGAATCTCGCCGAACGAAAGAAATCGAGCGTAGTATTTCCGTCGAGCGACGGACGGATCCAGGGCACGCAACATTACGAAGAACGCATCTAAACTTCGTAGATTCTCGACGTGGAATCGTTAGACGCGTCGAGTTATCGGTTTATCGAGAAATGAAAGTTTAAGACGTTTAATTGGATCGTTGGATAGTTCTATGGCGATGTCGGATCATTGTATTATTGACTTATCGAACTAACTCGCGAGACTGTAAGCTCGTTCGATTGTCAATTCATCGGATTATTCCGTTCATCCATTGGCGGATTCGATTATCAAATCTGTCTCCATAGACTGCTCCGTTAATAGGATTGTCGCGATAATTCGCTTACCGGCTACCGAAGTTCGAACTATACAGAAATTTCGTTTAAAAACTTTCGATAAAATGTAAGAAAGACTTGGTGTCCATCGATTGCGCTCGATCGACCACCGTTGGTTTCGGATCGAGATGCGGGGATTCCTGGAAAGGGTTCGACGAGAGAACACCCAGAATCCCACCAAAAAGATGTTACACGATATTATCGCGCAATTAGCCGCCGTACACGAGAGTACGTCAATTTAAGGTACTTTAGGAAGCTGCTCGTGTCCCAGTTGCTTCCTTTCACGTTGTCGACCGCGCCATCGTGGGTAATCGCGAGGTAATTAAGTTGTAAGTGGATTAATCGACCGTGACCGCGGAAAAAACAGTCGTTCGTCGACCAACTCTAACTGGAGCCTCCCGATAGCTCACAGAATAAAGTCGTCCTGACGACTGAACGGTCCAGGACCTCCCCACATCGATTTTATAAACACTGTAAACCGAAAAATCGATGGACATTTTCTTTTTCACTTGCCAGGAATATTTTAAACGACATAATTCTTCGTAGAAGTAAAAAGCAGGTCGATCGCGGAGCATTTTACGTTTGTTTTTACGTTCCTTCGTGCGTTGATCCTCGCGTAAGACGGATTCTCGGATAGAGTTCTCGCAACGTTTCCGATAAAAAGTCGAGAAATTTTTAGCACAGCGTGGATACTTACGTGGCATGATGCCTTGCGCAACCAGCTGATTGATGGGTCGCCTCAGCATAAGCTTCACCTTCAACGCTGCAACAGAGAAAAGAACGTTTCCTTTACAATTCGTTCCCCTTATTGACAATACACGTTAACCATTCCACAACGTTGTTACACGATCGTACAATGTATAATTTCAAGCTTGTCTCAGGGATCGGAGAGCTCATTCCTGCATTCGATTAATGGGAAATTGCACGAAACTTTTCGACGCAGGTTTTGCAGAAGTGTACAAAACATGCAACACTTTGACTGTTCATTCGAGTCGTTTCGTATTTAAGATTAGTCAGCCCCGAGGTTGAGAACGAGCCGCGTAAAAAGTGGTGAAAATGAAACATTTGATCGCGCCGAAGGATCTACAGTCCCCACGAGCAAAAGCGCCGACCACCGTCGTCGATCACGGTCTATAATTATTAAACGGAGCACATTTTGTGCAACGCAGCCCCGAAATAGAATTTTCGCGCGAATCGGTGGGTTTTCCTGGAGCCGTCGCGCCGACAGCCGACGGATCTCACGTTTTAGGCTGATCAAAGTCGATCGTTGCGGGGTTGTTGCGCGCCCCTCGTCGCGGAGGACTTTCTCGGTAGGCCGATATTTTCTTTCCGCATGCCGAATAAGCTGTTCCATATGGCGCGACTCCGGTGGGGTCCCGGCCGACGAGGGAGAACTACAAAAAAGAAATCGTGGGTTTCACGGAGGGGGAGGGAGGGGAAAATAAGCACGTCGACCCCTTCTTTCCCTCGTTAATTGGACCACCGCGCACGAGCGAGCGACGATGGCAATTTTGGGGGCCCCGATAATTAAAGAGCGCGCGCGCCACTCGTGGCCACATAAATTACGTCGGATAGGTGTGTGCCCCGAGAAGCGTCGCGCACAGATTGGCCAGGTGTAACGGGATTTGCGTACCGTATCGTAGCTACTCTGCGCGCTGCTATCTGCATTTCGCTCCGGGACGGCTGCTTGGTAACTTCGAAGTGTCAGGACGATCGACCAAAACTTTGCGTAAGATAGATTACTTTACTGCCACGCAACTCCCCCAATCGTGACACTTCCATATCTTTCTTTCTTAATTTTTAAGACATTATTTAATATTTACGTTTCGAGCCTCGAGTTCAAAGTCCTCCGCCGACGAAACGAACCGTCCTGGTTTCGACGGACCCCTCCCGCGTGACGTTACGGTTTCCTGGAATCCCGGCGAGTACGGTGATTCCCAATTAAGAGGCCCCGATCGTGATTCGGGGATCGAGGAGGAGTCAGACTCGCGTGGTTCGTTCGCAGATCAAAGGTCGACGTGGAGCGCGCGGGGGCCCCCGCGGTCGTCCCGGCGCGGCGGATCGCGGGCCCAGCTACAAATTAACACACAAAGGGCCCCCGGTTATAAATACGCGGAGGACGCGCGGGCCAGATTGCATAAATTGCCGGCACAAGGGGAACGAAACCGCGGTCCCCCACGGCCGCGCAATCTGAATTCAAAGCAGCCGTGTCCCGGAGAAAAATGTCTACCCTTTCGGTTTATTGGCCGCGGAGTCGGGGGCCTCGCTGCTGCCGGGGGGATCCCTAGCGGCCAGTTTTTTCGTCGATCGAGAGCGAATGCGGCTCCGCGATGTACTCTTGCCGGAATAATCGACCGTTTACGGTCGCCTCGCGGCTCCTTCCTTTTTTCTGTACGGATTCGTCGGCGCTACGGCGCGCTAGAACGAATTCCGCGCCGCTCGCCGCTGGCGGAAAGCGTTCATTTTGTCATCGCGAATGGTATCCACTACTCATTACTCTCCAGACCAAAAAGAAAGTACATATAATGTACGTATCGACAGCAAACATATTTCTCCCCAATTGCGCCACGATCCTCGATCTTGTATCTCCGCCAGAAATCCGGCGTAATAAATATCGCCTCCGTTAGCTGTCCACGCGCGAGATCGCGCATTCTCGGACTCCCTGATTAACTAATCAACGACAACGTCCGCGGCGCGTGCAAAAATGTATAGCCGCGGAATGGCGGTAATTAAGGCGCAACGGAACAACGCGAAGCGGCCAAGGAAACGTAAAAAAAAACAATCATCCGAGGAATAACCGCACGAATCGCGATAATCCTATCGCCTAACGAGCATTCCTGATCGTATCCTCGCTATCGATCCTGACAATCACGCGCGGAACGCGCGTAACTATGCGCGCGATTGCATATTTCTCTTGGTGGCCGAGAAATTCACGGAGCGGCCGTTCCGCGCGAGCGCATTCCTCGGGGCTATCCCTTCCGACTAGGTGGATTTCGCCAAAAAATTGCCCACCTGCTTCTCGATCGGTCCGCCATACTCTGAAAATGGGAAGAAACGGATGCACAGTGTTCGAGAAAATAAAACACCTTCCATATGTATGTTGAGAATTATTTAACTGCAACGAAGAGCAAGATGTGAATAATTGCGGGGATCGGCAGATCGGCTAGAAGAAAAAAGGTGCACGCGTCAGGAGGAACTGGGACAGAGAGTATCATGGTCCACAGAAGACAAATGGTAACGACCAAAATGGCTACTAGACGCAAGTGCCAAAATACACAGCGCCAAATACTGAGCCAACGTTTCTTGTATCGTTATATGGGCACAGTTGTTACTAATTCGGTGTCGCGTTTCATCTTCCGTAATTACACGAGGTATCCAGGACCGCGTGTTTCTCTCGTGTCTCTTAATTAGCCTGTGAAACACTCAACATTGAAAAATCGACGTAACGTGTGGATTTGTTCACTTTAATGTACGAAATTTAAAGTTTTGCAAGTATACCGAAACTTGAACCCAATGTGAAATCTCGAGGTGCACATCGTGTCTTCGTGCTCGGTTGCAAAAATGCAATTTCGTCGAGGATCGAACGGTTAACGAGGTCCTAATTAGCGTCGCGAGGCATCTGCGATGTAAATAGCAAGCACTGAAGTTTACGGGAAAGTGCAGCACCACGCCCTCGAGGGACGGTCGAAAAGTCGATGAAATATCGCGAGGGGTCATCGGATGTCAGAAAGCAAAGGGTAGGCAATGCCTCGAAGAAGACGGACGTTAACGAGCAGATGGACGAGGCGGAGGTGGACGGGCAGCGAACGATATCCTGGACGAAACGGCAGGACAGCTCTCCTCGGTGTCACGGTGCACGTGCATAGTTGTCCCATGTACCCGGTGGGCCGACAGCTCGCGACTCGGTGGCTCGTGGCCGAGTGTCAGGGTGGCACGCGGATTCCAGCCATGTTTCGCATTTCTCCGAGATTTCATCGTTGCCCCGCGCGACCAAGAATGGCCGACTAACGGCGCTAGCCGTGATCGCAACCTTTTTACACCCTTTTCCGCAAGACAAATTTCCAATGAATCGCCATTTTGTCATTTTCCTCGCGGACCTCCAGGAACTCGAGGTCGCGCTTTTGTGTTCTGCGTTAGGGATACTTGCAACGGAGTAAATTCATCCGTGAAACGCTACGAAATTGATTCCATCCGTCCATTGATAGTCAATTCAAATAGAGAAACGTGAAATTTTTCGACTCGAATCGCTAATCTTGTACCCCGTTTCTTGCGTCGAATCTCCGTTAGGGATACTTGCCATTTTTTCTATTCCTTCGGATGGAGTTGACTCGAGTATTTGAAATTGTATGGAACAAAGTCTAGAAGACATGTCAGCGTGAAATCTGGTAGTTTTTATGGGATCGCGAGAAGGGAAACGAAAAAAGGGGCCGTTTTTTTATCGAAATTCGTGGCGCGGATGCCTCGAATGCCTGCGAACGTCTCTCGACCGTGTTAATTGCACGGCTCACGGGGGTTCGAGGATGGTCGAAGTTACGGGGGGGCTACACTCCGTAAGCATTTGCGCAATGCATAGAATGCAAATTCGCGCGCAGTGCATTCCTCGCGAGTGAATCCCCCCGGCTGCGCCGTTTACGCCACCACGGCTCGTCGATGGCGATCGTTCCGCCGGACGTAGTAAATAAACTCCTGGATATGCACTCACCCACAGACGAGATATACGAGTAGACATTACATCCAATGTATTTTTTTGACCCATTTTTCTGGGGCCCTAGTGCCCCACTACCATTTTCTTATCTTCCGCAACAAGGAATTTTTTTCTCGAAAATGGTTGGGATTTCGAGCGTATGTCTATTCACCAAAAATGTTTGTAATCGACCCCTGCAACCGGAAATAATTTTTTCAAAACGGTTTGAAATTCTTTATTTTCGACATTCCGATTCCACTGTTCCGTTTACCGTTTCTCTATTTATACGCGGATAATTTCCAACGCGAGACGAACGACAAGCGGCGTTTTTGAAATTGAAAACCGTAACGATCGCGTCCATGAAAGTCGCGGAGGCCAGAAACGACGCGTCCAAATAAGTCGTATCGGTCGAGGGAGGGGGGAGAAGATTACAATCATTAAGCGCGTCATTACCAGACGTAAATTAGAGTGGTTAAGAGTAATTACACGCGAGAGTCGGAGACCGACTGACGCAGCTGTCGATCGGAGTTAAACTTTCTGTCGGTAGAATTAATTCGAACTGTCATACGCTGTCTCTCGCTTCTGTTTTTTTTTTCTCCTACCCCGCGAGATTGCACAAACTGTTGCACATGTCGATACTCGACGTCTATGAAACTCGTTTTATCGGAACCGACGGTGCAGGGGGCTGACTTTTAACCGCTCGTATCGGCCAAAGCGATCGCGATCGTAAGAACGTCGACAGACATTTTAAACAGATGGGAGCCCGATTGTACAGGTTGCAACGTGGTTCAGACGCGTCGATCGTTTCTATTATTTACTGTATACAGTCGCTGTTAAGTTGTACGGTCAATATTATATATAATAAATATCTTTTGCAAATAGCTGGAAACACTTAAGAATTCTTTCGACGTTTCGAGAATCGATTCAACGCGAAAGGAGACCGTCTCTGCAGACTTCCTAGACGGAATCGCGCGGCGGTTCGAAGCCGTTTGAAGGCTGCAGTAGGAGGACGGTACGCAGTCCTTGCAGCGGACCGTTCACGAAGTTGTCGCTCGTTTTACGATATTCCGTCCCCTTGC